AAGGAGAAAAATTAATCGTGTATATTTTCCTGAAGCTGATGTTTAAAGCACATTTAACCCCTGAAATGATGAAAACCACACGATGAGCTTACCTTAAATTCAGTAGCACACAGAGTACATTGATGTTTAGTTTTACAAAATGTATTTAGGTGTAAACATAAAAAATTATGTATAAGTATTTTCATATAAAAATATGAATATCTTTTTTTTTTTTTTTTTTTGCAATAACAAATTAGGGTAAAATGTGCTTAATTGACGTTAAAATAAGTATATAGGGTCTTAAAAATAGCCGTCTTCTCAAACTATTTTTTCTTGATTTTTGAGTGAAATATGTTGGGAATTTCTTGGCAGTGTTTACCAGAGTTTTTTCTCATCAGACTCCATGAATGATGTGAGGAAGCTGCTTATGTGCATTTATTTCTAATGATTTCTGTCTGGTTTGGCCAACACGGAGATCCTGTGTGATCTCTTCTTTTTGTGTATTTATGATTCTGATGTTGTGGGTCTGAATCACTTCCAGAAGCGCCTTGTTTTCGTCACTGTAAGCACTGTTTGTTCACTCCGTTGTCTTAATGTAGTGAGGGTTGTCGGTCAGTACTGGACTCTGTGCTCCTGAAATGTTGATTTGTGTTTACTCGCGTGCTTTATCTGTGATGACTGAAGATGAAGGTCACAGGCCTCTCCACATGTACACAAGATCATTCCCAAACTTTCCTTGTGTGACGTCTGAGTGCATGTGGAATAAAAGCTCCAGACATGTTTACGAGGAGAATTCGTGTGTTTATTGTACACGGGATTGGCTGAAGGTGTAGTTCAGTCTGAACACACTGACGATGCAGTACAAGTGTTTATTCTCCCATCGGGCCGAGCAGCTGCCTGCAGAAGAGCCACATAAATACACTGACATCTGCTCATATATTACTATCCTCAATCTAAAATACAACTAAAACTTTCATACATTATTAAATAAACTGCAACAGAAGAGCAAAGCTTTACTTTTTTGTTTTTGTCATAAACAGACAAAATGTCTCAGATTAGTAAGCATAAGAAATGTTTAATATTAGGCAAATGTTAATGTTGTCGGTGGAACGCTCGGCGGTTGTCATGGAAATGACGCACACGTCATGACGCGTTTCAAATCAGTCCCCTAATGGAGAACATGAATGGAGGTTTTACTTCCGCAACTCGACTGCATATTTTCAGTGTTAAATGTACTAATAAATGTGTGTTACTTCGAATAACTATCCAGTAATGTAAGCTGATTAGCGCTCTGTATTTTGTGAAAGGCGCGGCTGTAAACGCGCTACTTGTTTGTGTCCAGCAGGCGGAAGTAACGCCCAAACAGCGCTGCGGAATCATGGGTAATGTAGTTCCGCTGTTAACATGACTATTCAATAATAAACATATGTAGTTTAAAAAATGAGAAACAGCTGGCTTCAACAAAAGCATATACTATCGATTTACACTCTCGTAGCTCTCAGTAGCACAAACTTTAAAGGTTTAATAAGTTATCGTTAAAAATCAAGTCCCCCATGAAGAAAATGAATGGGGTTTTTATTTCCGGAACTGGTCTGATTATATTTTCTATATTAAATATACTTTGGAATTTTTTTGTTTTTTGGAAGCTTATGGAAGATGATTCGCACTCTACCTGAATATTACATTTCAGACGTATGGACAAGCTTTTATTTTAAAATAAAATAAAAGTCAGTAGCAGGACTCCTTAAATTTAAACTGTATTTGCTTCAGGTTTATTATCATCACTAGATACTTTTTTCTTTTTTTTTAATCGATAAACAGAAAAGTCGGAAAGTGTGCGCTGTTTTCTTCAGTCGATGATCGCTGTGTGTCGCCCTCTAGTGCTGCAGATGCGCCACGTGTATGTGTGTGTGTGTGTGTGTGTGTGTGTGTGTGTGATTGGTCCTGTTGTGAATGAACGGTCTTGAACAGATAACATGATTGTGGACTGGTTTGGTGTGTGCAGGTCTGTCTCTTCTGCTCGGTGTTCCTCAAACATCACGTCATGTTCCTCAGCTGTGTTCTGCTGCTGTGTGTCCTGCACGTCTGCGGCGGGACCCCGGACCCCGACAGAGAGATGTGCTACTCTCGGCAGCATCAGGACGCCGCTGTAAACACGCGTGTGGCTCTGGATCAGAAGGGGACCGTCATGGTGGCCCGAGCCAAGCCGTCAGAGAAAGACTGCATCCTAACCTGGTGCTCGGAGGACATCGGTTCAGGTGTGACACAAACACACTACATGAGTGCTGTTCATGCGGCGCTCTGCTGACGAGCTGTGATGTTCTCACAGGGCTGAAGTGTAATCTGGTGGTGTATGAACCTGGAGATCTGAGCTGCCAGCTCTTCCACTGTCCGAGCGAGAGAGACTGTCCGCTGATGACAGCCAGCGCCGGAGTCAACACCTACAACATATTCAAGGGTGAGCAGAGCCGCAGTCACATCAGCAGTCACTGCTCTTCTGATTCAAAACAATGAGTGCTGATGAGTCTGTGCAAAGGATTATGGGGAATGAAGTCAATGACAGAGTGTCAATAGTCTGCAGTGGACATCCAGGACACTGCAGCTGGTGACCCTGCAGCACAAAACCAGTCAGAAGGGTTAGGGAGATGAATAAATCAGCTTTCCATTGATGTATGGTTTGTTAGGATAGAACGATATTTGAAAATCTGGAATCTGAGGGTGCAAAACAATCTAAATATTGAGAAAATCATCTTTAAAGTTGTCCAAATGAAGTTCTTAGCAATGCATATTACTAATCAAAAATTAAGTTTTTATATATTTACGGTAGGAAATTTACAAAATATCTTCATGGAACATAATCTTTACTTAATATCCTAATGATTTTTGGCATAAAAGAAAAATGTATAATTGTGACCCATACAATGTATTGTTGGCTATTGCTACAAATATACCCCAGCGACTTAACACTGCTTTTGTGCTCCAGGGACACAAACATATATTTATCAAGATATTATGAAGAAAAAAATGTCTGTATGTATGTGGTTACTTGCAAAGACCACATCTCTCATTTTCCTTCAGTTTAACTCGATGTACTAAAATAAACTAAGACTGAAGTAAAAATGATTCAAACATATTTAAAAGCAACCAAAAGCTAATAAAATGGCAAAAACACACAACTGAATTAGTGAAACTTGAACGAAAATGAGTAATATAAAAACTAATTCAGAATATTAATAAAAACTACAGTGGTATCTCAATGATACTAAAAGCCCAACCCTAACACTGGTCGGTTTCTGCAATCGATTTGATCTTTTCAGGTATAACTCATCCGACAACTAAAGGAAGAGTAACAGCCAAACCCACGACTACAAGTACGAGTACGAAACCAGCACCAACAACAGCCACATCCTCCAGCAGCAGCACTGAACCCACTGAGTCAGAATCACCCGTGATGCTGGAAACCGTCGCTATGACGACCGCACCCGCTACCACGGCAACCAGCACCACACAGCCCACCAGCACGACTAAAAGCACCAGCACTAAAGCGCCGCATCCTCCTCCACGGACGCCCGTCAAACCCAAGCGACCCAAGAAACCCAGCAAACCCTCGAGACCCGAGACGCACTCAGTGAAGCCCACCAGAGTCCCTACAGGCCCCCCGACCAGCAGCACACCATCCACCACAACAGCCACGACCACAGCAGCGCTGCTGGAGCTGGAGAGCGGCCCCGTTCTGTCTCGTCCAGGGAAGCCCAAGGTGTCTCGGGTGATGTGGAAGAACAGCCTGCTGGCCATCGTGGTGACCACACTCATCTTCCTCGCGCTCATCCTCTCTCTGGCGGCCCGTAAAGCCATGGAGTCGTTGGACAGACGCCACTACACCAGACTGGAGCTCAATGAGCTGCACTACGAGCTTTAAACACCAGAAGTGTGTTTCCCGTTCGCTCTCTGGGGAAAAGCTAGACACTGAACGCTGTGGACGCTTCATCTGTGAATAGAGAGAAATCAAAAGCAATACACTGAACTCAGGTGGCCTCGAGTGATGGCGAGCAGCAGCACTTCTGTCAGACTTTCTTTGGGTTTGTTTTGCGGGGCAAGTTCTGTTCTGTTGAAGTGAGCTGCTCCTCTGTTTCTTCACTAGTGGATGCGGCGCTCGTGTTTGTCTATCACCTGTCTGTTATCTGACTGGACGAGCGAGTGTGTCTGTGATTCACTGAACAGCATGAGATTCAGAGATCTGCTTGTCTGCTTCGGTGGTTTCTAATCTGCTGTTATTTGTTGTTGGTACATTTTTGGCGAGCCTTGTCTTTTACAGACACCTCGAGATTAATGTGATTGTTTCTCTTGCAAGAAATAAAAAGGAGTCTTTTGCAATATTTAAAAGATTTATTATTACATTCTGATTAAAAAAAAAAGCTTAAATGAAGAGTGCTGAGGGTATTTGTGAAGTGTTGGTTATTCATTTTGACGAGTTATGCAAATACAGAAGCAAAAGCGTTAAAACACTTGTTAGTGCAAACAATGATTAATGCTGTTCTTTTGAACATTCTGTTCATCCTGAAAAATAAAGTGTATCAGTTTCCACAAAAAAATTAATGTTTTGAACATTGCTAATAATCAGAAATGTTTCTCGAGCAGCAAATCAGTATATTATACTGATTTCTGAAGATCATGTGACACTGAAGACTGGAGTAATGATGCTGAAAATACAGCTGCGCATCACAGAAATACATTACAGTTTAACAGATATTCACATAGAACATAGCTGTTTTAGATTGTAATAATATATGATCCGCTGCAGGGCTGTGTTTGGACGCGAGAGGGCGCTGTGTCACATCTCTATGACACATCCAGAAATCACACTCACTGATATATCACTGCATGATTCATATTTCAGATTTATGCGCTTGTAGCTGTCGATAGAGATTCATCTTCACTGAAGATCGATTTTTATTGCCATGGTAAAAAAACAACAACAACAACACCTTTCCATTGCAGTAGCAACAGATACACACATTATAGGCTACACAGTGTAATATAATATCACCGCAAACACAAATCACAACAGATAATCTGGCTGAGAGAGAGAGTCTGAGAAACTCCCATGATACGTGTCTGCAGTGTTCAGTGATGATGGAGAACAAACGAGAGACAATACGCGAGTAATAATGAATGAAATATAAATTCGGGTTCGTGGCGCTTTGTGTTGTTTTGTGTTTCGGGCCGCAGCACGAACCGCTGCGTGAAAAACTAGTCCCATCGGAATGCGCTTCCCTGCCTTTATCCGCGCGCCCACAACGCTCGCGACGCCTCTTTCCCCGCATTAACCGGTTGGTTCCGCGTCTCCGCCGCGCTGTGATCTCACACAGAGAAAGAGAGACGCGAGTGCGATGAAATACAACAATAGCGCGCCGCGCCGCGGAGCTGGAGCTGGAGAGGGGAAGGGTTCGGAAGCGGCCGGGAGTTCTTCCTGTGAGCGGAAGGAGACGGACGCACGGACTGCGCGATGTCGCGGTCACACTGAAGCACCGACTCCATCAAACCGATGAGAAACTGCGGCGGAGATTCAGCGCGAGGAATCCGAATCACAGACGCACGCAGCCGGAGCGATGCGAGCGAGGCGGCGCGGCTGAGCGTTGAAGATGGGTGCCGTACTACACAGTCTCTTACTGTGCACTTTGTGTTTGCAGATTCGGGGTGAGTTTGATTTACAGCGCGATCTGCGAGGAATCGCGTCGAACGCGTGAGCTCTCCGAGCGTCGTTTCAGCCAGTGCTGTACTGTTGGAGAAACGCGTCGGTCTGTGTGTTTGCTGATGTGTAACGAGCTTGTTTTGTTTCCCTCGAGTCCTGCGAATCTGCTCTCCTCAAACTCGCCCGTTTTCAGGCGCTTTTGTCCCGAAACCCTCGACTGTTTCCTGCGCGTTTCTGTGGCCTGCGTGCGTCTGATCGCGCTGCTGCAGATCCGTGTGTGGAGACGCTTTCTGGGCTTTGTGTTTGATTCAGTGCTGTGTTTGAGGCTTTCTGCGCTGGAGAATCACTTTTAGCCATTATGTGGGGGTTTGTAAACAGTATTGTGTTCAACAGCTGTTCAGGTGTGTGTGTGTGTGTGTGTGTGAGTGAGAGAGAGAGAGAGTGTGATGGTTGACATGATCTGAGGCCAAATATTAAGTGTCCAAAAAGCTCCGTATTTCCCCTGTTTGCCCTCGGCTGAGTCTGGCACGGGCTTCACGGAGTCGCCCGGAGTTCTGCAAGTTTCCAAATATTTGGAAAAGGAAATTCCCCATGTTAGAAAAACAGGCCGTGGCTGGAGGCGAGAAGGTTGAGGTCGCCCTCCATCACAGTGTGTGCCGGTGTTTGTGGTGGAAGTGTCAAATTGAGGTTTGATTCGGTGCCAGATCCCTGCAGAGAGACACACACTATACACACACTCTCTCTCACACACACACTCTCACATGCACACTCACACACACTCTCACACCCGCACACACACACACTCTCTCTCACACGCACACTCACACACACTCTCTCACACACACACACACACACTCTCTCGCACACACACTCTCACACACACACACACACACTCTCTCTCTCACACTCTCACAAACACACTCTCACACGCACACTCACACACACACACACACTCTCTCTCGCACACGCACACTCTCACTCTCACCCGCACACGCACACTCTCACCCGCACACACACACACTCTCTCACTCTCTCACACACACACTGTCTCTCACACACACACTCTCTCTCTCTCACACACTCACACACACACACTCTCTCTCTCTCACACACTCACACACACACACTCTCTCTCTCTCACACACTCACACACACACACTCTCTCTCTCTCACACACTCACACACACACACTCTCTCTCTCTCACACACTCACACACACACACTCTCTCTCTCTCACACACTCACACACACACACTCTCTCTCTCTCACACACTCACACACACACACTCTCTCTCTCTCACACACTCACACACACACACTCTCTCTCTCTCACACACTCACACACACACACTCTCTCTCTCTCACACACTCACACACACACACTCTCTCTCTCTCACACACTCACACACACACACTCTCTCTCTCTCACACACTCACACACACACACTCTCTCTCTCTCACACACTCACACACACACACTCTCTCTCTCTCACACACTCACACACACACACTCTCTCTCTCTCACACACTCACACACACACACTCTCTCTCTCTCACACACTCACACACACACACTCTCTCTCTCTCACACACTCACACACACACACTCTCTCTCTCTCACACACTCACACACACACACTCTCTCTCTCTCACACACTCACACACACACACTCTCTCTCTCTCACACACTCACACACACACACTCTCTCTCTCTCACACACTCACACACACACACTCTCTCTCTCTCACACACTCACACACACACACTCTCTCTCTCTCACACACACACACACACACTCACTCTCTCACACACACACTGTCTCTCACACACACACTCTCTCTCTCTCACACACACACACTAGTTTGGATTTTTCATAAGCTGAATTTTTATGGACATAAATGCAAAGCTAGCAGCAGTGAGCTCCTGCAGGATGAGTCTGTACAGTCGGTGACGGTGATCACTGGTTGAAGTCGTGCTCGTGTCTGGAGTCTTTCGTTACTGAAGAGATTTGGTTCTTTTTAGTTTTAGTGCAATAGTTCAGTAGGTGTTTGCACGTGAAAAATACACTTAAAGGGTTAGTTCGCCCAAAAAGGAAAATTCTGTCATTAATTACTCATCCTCATGTCGTTTCAAACCCGTAAGACCTTCGGTCATCTTCGGAACACAAATTAAGATATTTTGGATGGAATCTGAGAGCTCTGTGAACCTGCATAGACAGCAAGGCAACTGAAATGTTCCCAAGTCCAGAAACGTAGCAAGGAGATCTGTAAAATAATCTATGTGACATCAGGGGTTCATCCACAATTATACAAAAGCTACGAGAATACTTTTTGTGCACAAAAGAAAAAAAAAAGACTTTATTCAACAAGTTTCCTACATTGTTGTGATTTGATCTGAACGGAAACAGCGTATCCGCGTGGCGGGACATGCTAACATGTTGTGTTCCCTTCAATCCGGTGCTTAAATGTTCTTTACTCGGTCTGAAATTGAGCTTTGTGAAACCTGCAAGAAGCCTGACATGTCGTCTGAGAATCACAGCATGACTCTGGCGTTGCTAGTGCAGTGATCGTTCAGAATCATGAAGCCTCATTTGTTTAGGCGTGACCTCTGACCTCTGCATGTCGTCTCTGTCTCCCTCAGGCCTGCCGCTCCTCTTGTATGCGAACCGGAGGGACTTGCGGTTGGTGGACGCGGCTCACGGTCGAGGGAACGCCACGGTGGTGATCGGCGGTTTGGAGGACGCAGCGGCGGTGGATTACGTTTACGAGCAGGGACTGATTTACTGGAGCGACGTGAGCGAGGAGGCCATCAAGCGGACGCTGTTTAACGGGTCAGGGCCCGGCGGGCTCCAGAACACAGTCGTGTCCAGTCTGGCCTCTCCGGACGGCCTGGCCTGTGACTGGATGGGGAATAAGCTCTACTGGACCGACTCCGAGACCAATCGGATAGAAGTGGCCGAGCTGGACGGGACGCACCGGAAAGTGTTGTTCTGGCAGGATCTGGACCAGCCGAGAGCCATCGCTCTGGATCCGGCCCGAGGGTGAGTCCATGGCACACACACTTCACCGAACACTAGGGATGCACCGAATGTTCGGTAACCGAAATTACTCCAACGAAAATAGCAAAAATAGTGTGTTCAGCCGAATAAGCGAAAAGACCGAATAAACCGTACCGAACACGGGCTGGGTAAAAAATATCGATATCTAGATATTAATCGATTCTCATTGTTACGGAACGATATCGATTCTTAAATCCCAAGAATGGATTAGTCTAGCCTGTTTTCAGTTAATGGACAGAACATTGAAAGACACTTCTCATACAATATATCGCAATAAGCATTGTGCTTTGTTACTTTTAATATGAAACAAAGTCTCAGATTTCAAATTTTGTCCATTGTATTGCAGTATTCAAGCAATAAATGTTGTTTTGGCACTGTTTAATGTGGAGTGATCGCTGAACTGATCATCTCCTACGCTTTATTACTAGTTATAGCACAAAATAAACATGACTAAACATCCGAAGGTAAGTTAAACGAAAGAGTACAACTTTACAATCCGTATCCGGTCTCATGTAATCGCTCGATCTGTGTTTCAGCCGCGCAAAGACGCCAATATAACGACTTGTAAACAATGTCATGTCACATTTACCTCAGAAAAACATATTCGGTGACCATAAACTCATTAGTCAGCCAGAAAATTAAACTGTAGAGAGGGGCATTTTGCTAAATATGTGCACCATATAACATATTCATTATAACTTTGACTGTTCTTCAATGTTTAATTTATGTTTGAATAAATCCATCAAGTCTTTATGACAGCCACCATTATGTTTATATTAAAAAAAAAACCCGAATTGAAGTAGAAATATTATGTAATTGTAACTTTATTATTTTAAAACTTCATTAAGTGTAATTTGAACAAATCAGTCAGTTTTAACCTTCAATATTATAGTAATGTGGTACTAACTGACTCTCGTGTGTATTTTAGTTGAGAGATTTTTTTTTCTTGAGAAAATTTGCCATGTACTGTACCTGATATATAACCAAAATAATCCATATTGAATTGCAAGCTTGTGAATGAGAATCAAATCAAATCGTGAAATTTGTGTCAAAACCCAGCCCTAGCGAATGACGTGACGCGATCAGATAGCAACCAGCGAAGAGTGAGAGGTGCAGGGCGACAAACATGTCCGCTAGGCATGGGCCGATTACCGGTTTCAAGGTATACCGCGATTTCAAAATGTCACTGTTTCAAAACCGCTAATATTTTCCATTATACCGTTCCTGCGGTATGCGCTGTTTTTCATGTTTTCTCAAAGACTGAAAGTGTAGGAATCCCTCAGGTTGAGTGAGTGTAGAGAGTAACACGTCTCCTGCTGTTGGTGCGAGCGAGCGGTCAGTCACGTGTGTGTAGGACGGACGAACCACTGATCTATAATAGACTCATTATATATAGATCAGTGGGCCGAGCTTAAGGAGCTTACCCTGGAACTCACGCGATTGGCAACCGGATGCTTTTTGTCTTATTCAAGCAACTCATCTCTGTTCTGGACTTGCACAAACTGCGTTGCAATGCAATCATTTTCCAAAATGTCATTTATGTGAAAATATGAAGTCTGTAAACGGCTGTTAACACAGGCCAGAGACGCTGAAGACG